ACTACTTGTGGCATTATAAGCAATCACAGAAGGCGTGTACGACACGACAGACGCTGTCCCTTTGAGCCGCGACGGGCTGTGTACTTCTAAGTACGAAGTACTATACAGCAGGGGCAGCAGGTCTCTACTCTCTACTCCTGTCCGCGGCTACAGAAACGTTCTGGTCGTTAGCCTCTTACACGTTAACACCACTTGTCTAGCGAAGGCCCACAGACACTTCGTCCTGGGCACCTGTACCGCGGGCGTGCCATGGGTGTGGTCGTCCGTCCGTCTTCGTCGGCAATTAAGTGTCCTCTTTCTGTATGCGCTTCGGCAATTTTGTGGCCGAGAAGGAGAATCGGTACACGAAGCGATGGTAGAGTACTTGCGCTCACACCGCGGCCGCCTAACGTCCCCGACGATTGCATGCTCTATTTACTCTACATGTTTACTTACTACAAACCCGCGAAGTCTACTGCCTCGCCGCCGTAGCGAGATCGTAGAACACGTTTGTAGGATACACCGCACCTGCTTGCCGCGTGGTATTTTCACAACAACACAGACAGGGTGACTGCTGAGTAGTAACGACATTCCTTGACACCGATCGATACAAGCATGTTGAAAAATGTATGCGGATATGCGGATGGATGTCTCGCCAACGGCCAAAGTGATGCATGGACGCATGTGTCTAGACTATCTGCGGTTGTTGTTTCTAACAATCGTCGCTTATACATACGTAGCGGCCTTTTATATGCACAGATAGCTTTCCTCTTTGACTGAACCGCCCTGATCCCCGGGGTCGGGGCGGGGGTTGCACGGAAAAAAAATAAATTCCTCTTCTCTATTTGAAGCCGTGTGTCGGAGCGCGAACCAACCTACAGCAGTAGTTCTGCCTCGTTAATTTTCGAAAAGAACTGACTCGGCACCGAGCAAGCGCATCGTATCGCATTTCTCATCAAGATTGGCTTCGTAGGTCCCACGCCGCAGGGAGCGATGGATAGAGATATATAGATGTGCCCCCATAATCTCGCCCTGTCAAGCGGATATTCACCTCCCGACTTTTCTCAAGTGGATGGTCGTGGGCTCCAGGACTGTCGGCATCATTTCATTTACACCAATGAGAAACGTCAGTCTCATGCGATATGTTGTGAGAGGAACTATACTGCTGGACCCCCGGCTCGACATGGAATGAACGATTCTTGTTTTAAGACATAGACATACCACACCCGCTGTGTTTTGACAAATGGCAGACAGCAACAGCAGCAAGAACATGAGGATGACTTCCGCAATTGTCGAGAGCGTCGGCACACACCAGAGCAGCAGCAATAGAATGTGCTGCAATTCAAAGAGAGTGAAGAGGAACGCGAGATAATAATGGTTTTGCTGCTTTTTCGCGTTGCAATCCGATCGACCGCGCGGGGCAGAGCTTCTTTCTCTTTTGTTGTCTTAGGCCTGGCTCTGGCACACCCGCTTCGGGCGTCAAGGTCGCGTCCTACTAGGGTGAGAGCTGCATCAGACAACGTATATCTCAGCGTCGCAGTGTTTCTGCCACGGCGCTAGACGCTGCTTTCGGGGATCCCCTGCTGATTGGTTGTTGGCGGTGCCCATCATCTTCTCCCTGAAATCGGAGAACTGCTGCTGTGTCCACTTCGCCACAGCAACCAAGAAAGCACTGCTTGGTTAACAGAGTAGACTGGCGCGTTTTCATTGGTCAGCCGGGTTAGCGCGTTCAATGCTAACAATGAAGACACACACTCACACACCCACACACTGCTGCTGCTGTATTAGACTGGCGTCATGTCATTGATCGACAAATGGCGGACAGTGACAGCATATCCACACACTGTTGCTGCTGCTGTATTAGACTGGCGTCTTGTCATTGATCGACAAATGGCGGACAGTGACAGCATACCCACACACTTTATCTGCTGCTCTCCGGTTAGCATGACCGATGCTCGTAACAAAGACACGCACAAGTTAAGTACCGCCGTACAACAAGTGGGTCTTCGCAGCCACCGAAAACAGCTCAAGTGGGTAGACAGGTTTGTGAACTTACGGCAGGCAGAACACCCACCGCGTCGTCGGCAGCACCACTGGCATTCCACGTTGCCCTTACGACGAAATAAATCGGGTTGTCTTGCCCGGGGTTGGGGTTAGTCGCGTTTTACCCGTAGTCCCAAAATCCGATCTATCTATCACAGCTCTCGCCTTCTTCTCGCACGTCCCAGTTCCCCGGCGAGCGGGCCAAAGCCTTTTCGACGCTCATAGCGATTTATTTTCAACCTCGGACGAATCAGAGGTTTGCAACTTATGGCACCGGGGGGGGCGTACTTACAGTCGTGTATACCGCAGTCGTTGGGCCATTGACCTCGCATCCCTACAAAGCCGGGACGGAGCATGCCGGGTTCTCACCCGACCAGGCTCCGCGGGGTGATACAAAGTCAGGAACGACACGATGAAAACGATCGCGCGGACTGTGCTGCCCACTCTCCGCCGACTTTTGCGGCAGCGTAGTGTGTCGTCAGGCTTGAGGAAGGGAGGCCCCCCCATCTGACGATGTCGGGTCCCACTCACCCACCCACCCACCCACCCCCTGTCTGCTGTGCCCCAGGATCCGCAAAGGAAGGCAACCAAAGCTGTTTGATTCGGGTACATGTAGCATACCGTGGTGTATGGTGCTGGTCTGCCTGTTTACCCTGTTTGTGGAGCCCGTGAACTGGTACGGTAGTCAGTACGCGGGGGCCCCGTGAGGAGTAAGGTAGTCAGCACGTCTACCTCTACCTGTTTTCGGTGTGGCGGGCTCGGGGGTATTGTTTGGAGGCGTTCGTACCTGACGTACAGCAGTATTCCCTTTCTGTCGGCGCCCCCACCCCGGATTTGGATCCGCTTCGTGGCGGAAGAGACCCTAACGGCTTATATTATAGCGCCTGCCTACTATAAGTGAGACGTCTGGTTTCAGTAGTGTACTATTTTCACGAGAGGGAGACAAAGGTCCTGCTGGGATGGAGTGGCGAAAAGTAGCTACGCAGGGTCCTCGCCTTTTGGTAACGCTTAATGCAAACCGTTCGGCAGAGACGCTTCATGCAAAAGTGCGAATGATCGTACACTACCCCGGTCCGATTGACTTTGAAAGAGCTCGATTGCTCCACAAGCAAGACAGCGGCAAGAAAGCCGAATCGGGTGGAGTGATTGGTCTTGTCGAGGGGGTTCTTCACACGTATGACACCAGCAGTGGCTTTTCGCACCCTCTTGGTCGTGGAGTATTGGGGCTTCGTCGTTGTAGGAGGGGGTACTACACGATGACTCCGACCTTAACGATAAGTTCAGGGACGCAAAGCAGGACTACAGCCTCATTTACGGGGGATGGCAATGACAATCGCAAGGGCACAAGGGCAGAACTACCACCTTGTTACGGGGGATAGCGACGATAATTACAAGGACACCAGAGCAGAGCTACCGCTTTGTTGCGGGAGCCCCACAACGAGTCTACGGCTGTGTTTGTGTTGGATTTGGTTTTGGCTTATCGTCCGCAAGGAGGTACCATGTTTTTCTGACCGCCCGTGCGAACATTCAGACGGCCCCTTTTGATTGGTTAGCGTCACGCCCCCCCCCCCCCCCCCCCAAGACAAATAAATAACCGTGGGAAAACCAAAAAAAAAGAAGGAAAAAAAAAAAAAAAAAAAAGGAAAAAAGGGA